TAATTTTGACTTTTTTTCTAATGGCTACGATTTATTCTCATTTCTTTCACAGAGTATCATTCTTACTTGAACCCAACCCATATATATATATAGTGGTGGATTAAATGATGACAATCCTTAAAATGAATAGGTGAGACTCAATCTTAACCATTCATTTTTCTGTAGATCAATTATTCACATTAATAAATTGAATATATAATAAAAAAATAATTATGTTGACTGGCGATCAGAGGCGAACAAGACTCCGACGACCTAGTTTTTTTCTTGCGACCCCATTTTTCGGTCGGCGTGGGGCTGGCTGGTCACTACTAAATTCTTACACGGTCCGAGAAGCTTAATTGCCACTGACCAGGGGCAATCCTAACTTCACATGGACGGGAACCCCCTTTTTTCCGGCCGATGCCTGTGAGGACAAAGGGACGCGAGCGTGTGATTTCGACAGGCTTTCGACCGGGACAAAAAATAAAAAGTTAGCTCGTCGGGATTTGGACAGGATTTCGACGGTTTTGACTGGCGTTTTTCGATCCAAACTGCCCGCACAAGAGGATGGTCAATGGCCGACAACGTCTACGTCTTTGATCTCAAAGTCTCCATCTCAGTTCAGTGAATCGATTGAGGCAGCGGATGTAGGCGAGGCCGATGGAGGTGGATCTGAGGGTATGGGAAGAATGAGATTTTAGATTTGGGGAAAGGATTCACTTTGGAAATTTAATATATTGTGGGGGTTAAATTGCAATTTTAGGAATTTAAGAGTTATTGCAATTAGATCACTGGGTTCAATTTGTAATTTATTTATTGTTTAAATAATTATAATATGACCCTTGAACTTTTTATACTATATAATTAATGCACATTTAGTTTATTTCTTGTGCATATCTATACTTATATAATAAGAATTAACATTTATCCAAAATAGTAGGTCAAATTATGGTCAATGTCGGATTTGCATTAAATATTTTCCAAAACTGGTAAGTTTTTGTCCTTTTCACACTTCTCATTAATTATGTCTTTTTCACACTTCTCATTAATTATGTCCTTTTCACACTTCTCATTAATTATGTCATTTTCACACATCTAATTAATTCATTAATTACGACATAATTATCATAAATCATTCCATCTGAGCTTTTATCGTTAAAATGTATAGCGATCTGTTATGACTTTATCCCATTAATATTTCCATGAAACGTCATTATCGCGTTCTTTTTTTTGGTAACCACTCTATATCAATAACCGGATATTTGGTTAATGATAGCACACGTCTCTATTTCAAGGAGCGAATATTCTTTGACCTTTAATTAATTTGAACTGATTGCCTTGACTTTTCAATTTTTAAAAACTCTTTTTTTAAATATTTCGGCTTAAGATTCGGATTTCATTATACAAGTCATCGGATTGTTTGAATGAAAATGAATGAAAAGAACACCAAAAACAGGTAGCCTTATTCATATAACCAATCCTAAAATATTAGTTTATTTACCAAAAAAAGACAAATCTTAGAAATCCTAAAATATTAGTTTGTTCACCAATCCTAAAATATTAGTTTGTTCACCAAAAATATTAGTTTGATTTTTAGGATTTGTCACTTTTGAAAATATTAGTTTGTGATAATGAGGAGTTACCAAATAATCAAATTCATAATGTTGTGTACAAGGAGGTTTTTAATAATATATGATTGTTACCGAACTTTTTATGATTCAACAATGTTCCTATGTATTTTAATGATTTCAATTTCGATCCTAATGCACGTGAGGTTATATTATTCTTCCAAATTTTACATTCCGTGCATCGCACGGGGTACGTACTAGTTTAGATAATATACCATGCATATTTTATTTATAAATAATGCATACTTAATTCATGAGAATAAGAAATGTATATTTATTTCATAATGCATATTTAGTTCATTCATTGTGCTTATTTATGTAATAAGTAATGCTTATTTAGTTCATCCATACTGCATATTTGTTATACTTAAATTAAATATATACGCAATGTATATTTAATTCATTTAATATGAATATTTAGTTCATTGATGATGCATATTTAGTTAATACGAAATGGGTAATTATTATATTTAAATTAAGTATATAATGATGTATATTTAGTTCATCCATTGTGCATATTTAGTTCATTGGTGATGCATATATAGTTAATACGAAATGCATATTTGTTATATTTAAATTAAATATATACATGATGCATATTTAGTTCATTCATGATGCATATTTAGCTCATTGATGATGCATATTTAGTTAATATGAAATGGATATTTGTTATATTTAAATTAAATATATAATGATGCATATTTAATTCATTCATGATGAATATTTAGTTAATACATAGTGCATATTTGTTATATTTCAATTAAATATATAATGATACATATTTAGTTAATTCATGGTGCATATTTAATTCATTCGAAATGAATAGTTGTTACATTTAAATTAAATATATAATGATGCATATTTAGTTCATTCATAGTGCATATTTATTACATTTAAATTAAGTATATGATGATGCATAATTTAGTTCATTCATTATGCATATTTTGTTCATATATGATACATATATATTTTTTTTTTAACTAACACCCCAGAGGGTGGGAGGTTAAGGCCGAACCCCCAACCTGTATATAAAATGCCCTAAATGGGCCGAAAAGTCATAAAGCTACAAGTCCAATGTCTGATATACATCCAGTCAAACGAAAAATAAAAAACAACAAAGAAACGAAAAAAATACAGAGAAAAGCTAACAACTGCAGCGATAAATATGAAAATAACAGATCATGTTCCGGGATAGAGCCCCGACTAGAAAGTCAGTATCACAGTGTGGCGGGTGCGCCAAAAGGTAGGTCCGGCTACACAAATTTGAATGAGGAATATCCCATCTGGTCCATCCGTATGAGGGTGCGGAGGCAGATAGGTATATCGTCAGGATAAAGAATGCGTCTGTGGGGGTGGAGGACCCGATGCCAGCGAGGAAGTCAGCTGGGCGGTTCCCCTCACGGAAGATGTGCGAAATCCGGGAGCGAATCGTCTGGAGAGTGGCTCTGATGCGCATGAGAGGGTGTTGGATCTGCCACATGCCCTGCTATCCAGATGACAGAAGAGTGATGACAGCAGCCGCGTCCAACTCTATCCAAATGTGGGAGGAAATCGAGGCTGCAATCTGCAGACCGATCTGAAGTGCCTGAACCTCCGCGTCATAGCTCGAAGAGGCCCGAAAAGGGCCATGAAACGCGGCGATAAGGGCGCCGCTATGATACATAATGCATGCTAGCTAAAAAAATAAAAAAATAAAAGAAAAATCAACGTCGGAAGTCAACGGTCAATGGTCAAATGGTCAAAAATAATATTTAAATGATTAACATAAAAAATAAAGAAGTATTATTTAAATAAAGAGTTAAACTTTGACCACACATCTTGATGCATATCTAGTGGCTAGAAATGGGTCAAAAATAATATTTAAATGATTAACATAAAAAATAAAGAAGTATTATTTAAATAAAGAGTTAAACTTTGACCACACATCTTGATTCATATCTAGTGGCTAGAAATGTGTCCTCATTTGAACCAATTCCTATATATATATATATAGGCAATCCCTATATATATATATATATACATATATATATATATAGGATGTGGTTCAAATGAGAACCAAGTCTTAGTGTGAGAACCGTGAGAACCGCTATTTTTATTTGGGCGTAGTGCTATGATTGATTGTGTTTGATGCTATTTTTAATTAGGATGAATTTTATTAAAAATAGCAACACAATTTCTGGTAGCACTTGTAAGAATGATAGCATCATCTACTATGAAAAATAGCATCATGCACAATTAAAAATAGCATCAAAAATGGTTCTCACGGTTCTCACACCAGGACTAGTTTGTATTTGAACCAACCCCTATATATATATGTATATATATATATATATATATATTATAATTGTTGGTTATTCTTTCTACAAAAAAATAAAATTGCCTAAAAGTTTCAGTATATTTATCAAATTTGAATTCGTTTTAGAAAATAAATTTATAAAAATAAACAATAATTCTATTTTTTATTTTGTATTTTTTCATTTTAGGTATTCCATTATTAATTTGATGATGTTAAATATGTAAATAAAATCTTATTTAATATTTTTCAATTTAGTAATGTAGATCTATATTAGTTTTATCAAGTTCTGTTGCTTTTATCATATTTCATTTTCAATTGAATTTGTGATTGTTGTTATGTACACAAATTGTACAAATTGGTCTATTCATTCAATGTAACAGTATTTCAGTTTTGTGTACATATTAGTGCTAAAAAACTAACATTGTTATTAATGTGTCTTACAAGTTACTTGTGATATTTTATAATTTATAAATTTTTTGTAATAAAAATAGTGAACATATATATAAGTATCAAATTATACATGAGCTATTATTAGATGAAATAATCCAAATTGTACATTTATATTATTATATTATTAATATAATTAATACGATAATTATCCTAAAATAATATTATTTACTATAAAATTTATATTTTCTATTTTAAATTTATATTATATTTTTTTTTTTTAACTTTGGTGATACTTGTATGAACATTATTATTATACTCAAAGTATATATAAAACTATTTATATATTCATATAATAATTATCATTAATATATATGATAAATTACACATTCATATTCTTTTTTAATTGAAATCTAAAAATTTCAGCCAAGAGTAGTTAATATAACAAATAAATTACAAATATGATACATATTGTTGAATAACTTTTTATTTCAGTTGTTATTTTTATATAAAAAGTTTATAATATTTTTTATGTAATCTGTGTATATGCACATGATAGATTAATAGTATTAAGAATTATTTCTATACTATTAATTAGTTTGATTGGACTATATAATTTTGATACAAAGTCTTGCAAATTACCCATTCACTCCCTATGCACCATCTATAAATGCAATATGCCTTGCATTCTGCTACTCGCCACAAGTCTACACACCCTCACATCCATTTTTGTGAACTTTTTTTAATTAATTAACCAAATTATGGCTCCATATATTACAAAATGCATGATCCTTATTATAGTGTCCGTTTTCGTGACACCACAAATGCAGCTCATTCAGGCTCAGCAACAAGTTCCTGGCATGTACTTGTTTGGAGACTCACAATTTGACAACGGCAACAACAATTTCCTAATCACAACGTCTAAAACCAATTATCCACCGTACGGCATTGATTATCCAGATGGCCCAACCGGCAGATTTTCCAACGGTTTAACCATACCTGATGGTCTCGGTATATTATTTTCATTTCGTTTTTTTGTTAATTTTTTTTTTTCAACCATACTAGATTTTCTCAATATCGGTAGATTTTTTTTCGCGCAATACGGACACAAATATATAAGTTCATATCCAATGGATATATTTATTCAACTTTTTTTTTTTTTTGCAAAGACTAGGTTGAATTTAATTTCTTAATGAGTTTACTAATAAGTAACTAATATCATGATTAATCTTCGCAGCACTACTATTAGGCTTTGATCGTCCAATTTCACCCTTTGTAGCTGTAAGAGGCTCAGACATTAATCTCAGAGGTGTAAATTATGGATCAGGAGGAGCAGGCATCCTCAAAGACTCAGGGATATTATTGGTAATTAACCATAATCATGCATGTTACATTATCAACCAAATCAAAGCAGTAACATTAAATTTTTACCAAAGAAAAATCATTCATCTTTAACTAATTCTCATTATAAAGATTAATAGTTGATGGGTTACGTTTCAATTTTTTTTTTTTTTTTTCATGTAGGGCGATCGTTTCACGATGGATGAGCAACTGCAAAATCACCAAACAATAATCCGACGTATCACACTTTTACTTGGGTCTAATCAAACCGCGGTCAATGAATATCTGAACAAGTGCTTATACGTCGTTAACATAGGTAGTAACGACTACCTTAACAACTATTATCTGCTGGTATCGACTTCCCGTCTATTGTACTCGCCGGACGAGTTTTCCCGGATCTTGATCAAGAAGTTCTCTCAACAACTAAGGGTTGGTAGTTTATTTTCACCATAGTTGGCTATAATTCTAATTTTATTTTATTTCTTATTTTTTTTTAAATTGACCAAGTTGTTTTTCTGTGCCAGGGCTACCTAATTTTGGAATATTCATTTTTAGTCCTGTTGGTCTAACTCTATAGAAATTTTAGTCTAAAAGTTCCAACTTTTCGCATTTTGGTCCTACGATTTAATACTTTCTTGCAACTTTAGTCCTCTGAGAACTAAAAAATTTAAACTATAAGACTGAAATTGCAGAAAAAAAAATTAATTATAGGACTTAAATTGCCAATAAATGATCTATAAATTTTGGAATTTGTTGCAATTTTATGTCCTCAAATGACTGAAATTACAACAAAATATTAAATTACATGACTAAAAGGCGAAATGTTAGAATCTTTGAGACTAAAAATGTCTGAGTTTAAAACAATTAGAACTAAAAATGCGATTTAACCTTCATTTTTAACTATTCCTCTTCTATAAAGTAAACTCACGAAGAAGACAATGAATGCAATTCAATAAGCCTATAGACCACATTTGCCAAACTAAAAATCCTGTTTGACTAAATATTAATTTCCGTACCTTAAATTTAAAGCTAGCTAGCTAGCTAGTTTTTGAATATTCATTTTTAACTATTCCTCTTATAAAAAGTAAACTCATGAAGAAGATAATTAATGAATGCAATTCAATAAGCCTATAAACAAGATATGCCAAACTAATTAAAATCCTGATTGACTAAATATTAATTTCAGTACCTTAAATTAAAAGATAGCACTAATTATATTATATATTAATATAACCTTCTTCATCCGGCATATATAGACCTTGTACAACAATGGAGCAAGAAAAGTCGCAGTTTTCGGTGTCGGTTTACTAGGTTGCCTCCCTCAAGAGCTCGCCAATTTTCCTCCCAACGGGACGCTTTGTGTGGATTTCATAAATAACGGAGTCCAATTTTTCAACATGAAGCTCCCACCACTAATCGACACCCTCAACGACTTGCCAAATGCCGAGTTTACCCTCATAAACACCACTAGCATCTCACTTGGAGATCCTTCACTCGCCGGTAGGGATTTTATCGAATATTATTATAAATTGGCTTTACTTTTTTTGCGCAATTTAAACCCCGTAAGTTCTGATTTTGCGCAGTTCTGCGGAAAAAATTCAAAAAATGGTCTGGTCATTTTCTGAAAAAGGTCGACGTCATAAAAAATAGTTCATTGAATTGTCATTTTAATCAAAATTCGTACAATAACTAGCGTCCTAAAAGTGATTACTTTTAATTGTCATTTTAGTACACTGTGTTAAGTTTGATTAAAGTGGCAACTTAGTGCACCAGATAAAGTCAGACTTTTTTTTTGGAAAATGACCAATATATACCAAAAATGAAATTTAGCCGCAGTTTTGGTTCTGAACTACGCTCGTTCGGATCAAAAGTTGCGCCAAATAAGGACATATGGCACGAAAATTGAAAGTTGAAATTTTTATTCAGGAATTCAAGTTACAAACGCTTCGTGCTGCCCCACAGTAAGAAGCACGGGACTGTGTGTTCCAAATCGGGCCACTTGCAGTAATAGGGATGTGTACGTTTTCTGGGACAATTTTCATCCAACGGATATTGTTAATCGTGCTACTGCTAGACGAGCGTATTCACAGTTGTTGCGGATGGATGCATATCCAGTTGACATTCGAACTCTATTGCAGCAGTAAAAATGCATGCTTTTATAGTTGATAAATAAATGGATTTAACCAAAGTTCAAATTATGTGAAAAGTTACATGTTTATGTGTGTTACTTTGTTTCCTACAATTTGACTAAGAACTTCTGGGCTCTTACAGATTTATGTCTGGCCTGCAATGTACCTAGCTAGAAGATATAATAGAAGGTGTTTGTGACCAAATTTTACTTTTGTACATTATTATGGTGTTGATAAATATAATCAAGCCGCCTACACGTTAGGCAGCTTTCCGCCGGTCAATGTCACGCAACCAGAATTTCTGATCGAACATACATAACACAAGTCGAACGAGACTTACAGGGATAACATATAATAGAAATTAAGCATGTTTTCAACATTTTCAAATGGTCACCTAACTCGACCTTCATTAGCCACGTTAAACTCCTGCTAGAAGGTTAATAAAATGTTAGTTAATTTGACTACATTGTGTATGAACTGTATTTATTAGATGAAAACATACTGCACATAAGTTTTATTAGATCCACCGGCTGCAGGCCGACCGGGCAGGTCCAAGTATTTTTTCAAAAAAATCACTGATCCGTCGAGTCGGGTGAAACTTGGCATTAATCTTGCAATTACTGCAAGATCCAACAATCGAAATTGAATTGTTGATTGGTCAGACCCAGACCCAGAAACAGGTCAGGCCCGTTTTGGGTTGTGTACGGACCCGCCTGGTCAATAACCGGCATTAGTATGTGTAAACACGGGCCCAATTGTAATTTAGGCCCAAAACACCGGTCAACGGGCCTGGGTCAGCTGGTCTACGTATCTGACCCGCCCGGTCAATTCGAATACTCAATTTCTTGTATTTGTGAGCCACTTCTTGAAAAAAGGAATATAAAAAATAATGAAAAACAAAATGGGGAGGGAAAAGAAAGCGAATTCCTAGTGGAAATTTCGAAAAAGAACTGCTAAAGTGCATATGCGCAGTCCACACACCTTTATCTCATTCATTCCTTCCAGTCTCTTGAAAGAAAACAAAATTCCCTAAAAATGTCGGATTATCTTCCTCAGGAAATATGGGCCAACGTTTTCCTCTGGCTACCCGTCAAGATGCTCATCGGAATCCGGTCGGTCTGTAAGTATTTCGACCACATCATCCGCAGCCCCTCTTTCATTTCCGACCACCTCGCAAACTCCAAGCAACATCAAATCCCTCTCGTTCGATATGCAGAGTTTGGCTACAATAATAGCTTTAAAGAGCACTACGCGCTCATACCCAATCACCTCACATACTTGGGAGACATTCGAGAAATCGATTTCCCATTTAGGTCGGAATGCTACAAACATTTCAAGGTAATCGGCGCTTGCAACGGGTTGATCTGTTTGTCAGACGAGAATTACCGTCGCTCTCGCGGGATTATACTGTGGAACCCGTCTATCAGAAGGTACTTAGCCCTCCCCAAACCTCAATTGTCCCTCAAATCCCTCAAGGCATTTATTTTCACGTATGTGGTCGGTTTCGGGTATGACTGCGGGTCGGACGACTACAAGGTGTTGAGGATTACGAATGTGTGTGGAATCAGAAGCCGGAAAAACCAGGGTGTCGACCCGCCTATGCCGGGTCCCGTGGTTGAGATGTACACGGTCAAGTCGGGGTCTTGGAGGAATTTAAATATAGATGAGCTAACTTTTCCTTATCTGTTGCATGAGACCAATCAGGCTTTCGTGCAGGGATGTTTGCATTGGCTGAACGGGCAGTCTTCGATTGCTTGTTTTAATTTGAAAAATGAGGTGTTTAATGGAGGGTTAGGCTTACCCGAGGGTCTAACCGGATTCGGGTGGGACTCTCAATTGGCGGTGCTTGGGGAAAAGCTTGCCTTTGTAGTGAACCCCACCCCAGTCAAGGAGATTGCTAATGTGTGGGCCATGGAAGAGTATGGGGAGGTGGGGTCGTGGAGGAAGCTGTACAATGTTGATACGACCCCGAGATATTTCTTGTTCGTGGGGTTCACGGACAATGGGAACATGATGTGCACCTTAGACCGTAAAAGGCTTTACTGTTACGATCCGGACATGGATTTCCTGAACAATCTGTGCACTTGTGGGATCAAGGGCTCGTTTCACGTGGAGATGTATGTGGAGAGTTTGGTTCTGGTTGATGGGGAGAGTGCGGTTTCTAGGTCAGAGGCTATTACCTTGGAAGGTGAAGATTGGTGAGAATTTTGGGTCGAGTGTAGTGTGTTTAGTTTAGTCCGGTATTGTTGGTAGGTCTTGATTGTTGTTAGTTGTTTCGGATCATCCCATGTGAAACTTTTATGCTATGTGTTTATGACTTTTGGACCAGAAAAATGTTTTGCGGTTTGTTAATTTTCTGCTGACTTGGGGAATGTAAGTATTGGTTTGAATCATCATGGATCATGAACCCAATTTCATTTTCATCTTAAGTTTCAAATCACGGTGATCATTGGAATGTATTGATGTGCCTTGAGTTCATTTGACAACCCAATTTGCCAGATTCAAGTAGGATGATGCACAAATTAGTGTCTGAGCACCACTTCACTAGTAGAAGACAAAAGTACCAGAAAATGGTCGCATAACATTACCGTAATCAGCGTGTACTAAAAGGATCGTAGCCTCGCAGAGCTCGTGAGTGTCCTTCAGCAGGTTTCAGAAGATGACAGTGCGATCGAACCGACACCACGTTTCAGAAAGTAACCATTTGAAAAGTGGTGGGCCTGCTAGAAGTTTCAAAGGAAACGTGATAAACGGCCAAATGGGTGCCACGTCATCAGAAAACTAAGCAGGCGCGACTTTTGAGGGGCACACATACCCCTTAAATAGGAAATTGTTCGCCTGTCATCATTAAGTGTCTGGGGAACGCTCCTTTTCGATATCCGCTTGAGTGGATGGGGCGGTTTCTCGGTCAACTCAGAGTGCACGAAACGACGACTTCAGAAGGAGCGACCGAGGATGCTACTTTCGAGCTCGGGGCCTGTATGTTGACATCCGAGCTGAGCTGGGAGAATTTGAAACTAAATAATGTTATTAAATAAATAACTCACCAAGTAAGATACTCGGGTCGAAAGATCGCGAGCGAAGAACGAACTTCGAAAATGGAGACAGACGGGTGCCGAGCGAACGAGTTGATAAGACACCCAGGTCGGATAGCCATAAGTGTATACCCAATGAGATGATCACCAGGGCTCAAGACTTGGCCAGATTGAGAGAGACTTGTGTACGAAGACCCAACCGATTAAAACTAAGGTGGTAGAAAATGCTTAAATAATGGAAACTTGCACCCGCATCATTAATGACGGGACAAGCCTGACAAAAGTCAGCCCGCCTACATGGAAAAGCTCCATAGGGTCATGTGTAATATTTAATACCTGACATTTCTGTTTAATGCACAATTGCCCTGCCCGAAGAATAGTAATCGGGTCATATTTACTATAAATAGTCATATGAATCTATTGAGAAAGGGCTCAAAAAAATTCCCGTAACAAAGAAATATATTCTCTCATTAAATACTGTAATTAAACGAGCATCCGAGCTCATTTGCTAGAAAATCCGACCACATTTCTACTTATTTTTACACAAGTTCATCGTTAAATACCAAAATTTAATAACTTAACTAATTGATTATCACCAGTGACGGATCTAGAAATTTTTTTCAGGGAGGTCCGATTTTAAATGTTAAATAATGAACTTGTAATTTAAGTCAAAACACTCATTTCATATAAAAATATATTTATTATAAATATAAATATCGAAATGTGCATCATCAAGTTTTTAAGAACTTAGAATCTATATCACCCTCAAACTTAAAAAAAATTGAAATTTCATGTATTTATAATTTAAGTTCAACAATTATAATTTATGAAAAAAATAAGTTTTTTTGGTTAAAAAAATTGATATAAATTTAACTTTTGTAGCATATTGCATAGCATTTTTGTTGACGAAAGCTTATCAAACGAACATTATTTTAAGAAATACAATGAAGTTAAAAATATGTGATTACATAAAACAAAAAAAAATCAACATTAAAAAATATAACTATCAAATTAAATACTCGTTTTTATAAATCACTAAATCTATTTACAATTAAGAGACCAAAAGAGTAAAACATTATAAACATTTTAAAAAAATTATCTAGAAATGTAAAATATAAGGATTGTTAGTACATTTTTCAATAAATAAATAATACTGTTAATTTAAATTAAAATATCGTAGAAAATATAATTTTAATTATTAATATGTTGTAAATATTTTTTACAAATCTATACATATTGTATAATTTTTTCTTTATATATGTAAATATAGATACTGATAATATATAATACATATATAAATACATAATATATATATATATATATATATACTGATTTTTTAAAAAAATTGAGAGGGGTCCAAGGCTCCCCTGGGCCCCATGTGGCTCCGTCCTTGATTACCACCATTGAATTGGTGCTTTGAGTTGGTCGAAATCGTTGGTCAACAATATTGTTACAAATTATGATTACAAATCAACAGTTCATCTATCGAACTAAGCATGCAACTTATTAACTTAGAAAGAACAAAAGAAACAAAAATATTTATATATATATTGTTATAAATTATAATAATAAACCAATAAGACAACTTATTAACTTAGAAAGAACAAAAGAAACAAAAATATTTATATGTATATTGTTATAAATTATAATGATAAACCAACAAGTCATTTATCGAACAACAACGATGTAAATTGTTAGCCTAGAAGAACAAAAATTGAAATATTCAAAATGTATATTGTTATAATTTAGAATGATAAATCAACTTAAGTCGAACTATCCTATAAATTATTGGAGAAGAAAGAAAACTCAAAACACTTTATAATAAACATTATTATAAATTAAAAAAATAATAATTGGACTTAATTAAAAATAATAAATTATAATTTTAAAATAATGTACACTACATTCTTTTTACATTAAGTGTCGGTTTATACTATCTTTCACTATTTTTCAACTTCTCATTCCTTCCTTCCAATCTCTTGAAAAGTAAACAAAATTCCATAAAAATGTCGGATTATCTTCCTCAGGAAGTATGGGCCAACGTTTTCCTCCGGCTACCCACCCTCATCGCAATCCGGTCGGTCTGTAAGTATTTCGACCACATCATCCGCAGCCCTTTTTCATTTCCGACCACCTCGCAAACTCCAAGCAAAATCAAATCCTTCTCGTTCGATACCTAAGGGGAAGAGAAAAATCCAAGCGAAAAGAGCACTACGCGCTCATACCCAATGACCTCGAATACCTCGAAAACATTCGAGAAATCGATTTCCCATTTAAACCTGAATGCTACAAACATTTCAAGGTAATCGGCGCTTGCAACGGGTTGATCTGTTTGTCCGACGAGAGTTACCGTCGCGCTCGCGGGATTATACTGTGGAACCCGTCAATCAAAAGGTACTTAGCCCTCCCCAAACCTCAATTGTCTCTCAAATCCCTCCAAGCGTTTAATTTCACTAATGTTGTCGGTTTCGGGTATGACTGCGGGTCGGACGACTATAAGGTGTTGAGGATTACACATGTGTATGGAATCAGAAGTGGGAAAAACCGGCGAGTCGACCCGCCTAAGCCGGGTCCCGTGATTGAGATGTACACAGTCAAGTCGGGGTCTTGGAGGAATTTAAATATAGAAGAACTACCTTTTCCTTATCTGTTGCATACCAATCAGGCGTTGGTGCAGGGATGCTTGCATTGGCCGGAATAGTTGGTCTTCGATTGCTTGTTTTGATTTGAGAAATGAGGTGTTTAAGGGAGGTATAGATTTGCCCGAGAGTGCACGCGAGTGGGACTTCTTTCACTTGGCAGTGCTTGGGGAGAAGCTTGCCATTGTAGTGGACCATACGCCAGTCAAGGGGATTGCTAATGTGTGGGCCATGGAAGAGTATGGGGAGGTGGGGTCGTGGAGGAAGCTGTACAATGTTGATACAATGCCGGGATATTTCTTGTTCGTGGGGTTCACGGACAATGGGAACATAATGGGCACCATAGACCGTAACAAGCTTTACTGTTATGATCCGGACAAGTGTTACTTGGAAAATCTGTGCACTCGTGGGGCCGTGGGCTCGTTTCACGTGGAGATGTATGTGGAGGGTTTGGTTCTGGTAGATGGGGAGAGTGCGGTTCCTAGGTCGGAGGCTATTACCTTGGAAGGTGAAGATTGGTGAGAATTTTGGGTCGAGTGTATTGTGTTTAGTCTAGTATTGTTCGTAGGTCTTGATTGTTGTTAGTTTCTCGGGTCATCTCATGTGAAACTTTTATGCCATCTGTTTATGATTCTATGGGAATGTAAGTATTGGTTTGAATCATCATGGATCATGAACCCAATTTCATTTTCCTCTTAAATTTCAATTCACGGTGATCGGTCGAATGTATTGATGAGCCTTGAGTTCATTTGACAATCCAATTTGTAGATTCACGTGGGATACAAAATCAAGATCTCGATGCACAAATTAGTGTCTCAGCACCACTTCACGAGTGGAAGACAAAAATACCATAAATAATCGATTTCTTTACCCCAACAACAAAAATCCAAGTTAATTGGACAAGAAAAAAAAAACTATGGAAAAAAATCAAAAGCACATATTATGAGAATATGTTTTTCATGTAATTTACATTGAAAAACGTATTCTCAGTTCGTTCTCGCACGGATGAATGGGGTCGGGTTTTCTCGCGACTAAGCGTGGCCTCGGCTCGACACCGGCAAACCAGTCGACCCGCGGATAGGAGAGGCAGAACGGAAACCGAGCGGTCGAAGGCGGTAGTGATCCGGGCCGAGGTACACGACGGGAAACTCTGAGAATACGTTTTTCAAAAAATATTTATAAAAAAAACGTATTCTGAGAATACGGGCTTTTGATTTTGGTCCAGATTTTTTTTTTTTTTATTTTTGTCCACTTGTTTTTTTTGTTTTTTATATATATAAATTTCCCGAAAACAATCGCATAACATTACCGTAATCAGTTTTATTGGATGTCCTTCATACTTTGCCAAGTCTCTTATTGGCAGTTTACAGGAGACAAATTAGTTCACAACCTAGGACCAATTTTTCCATACTAGGGGGCCTATGAAAGTTTAAGGCTTGAGGTTGCACTCAGCCACCTTCTCCCATGACTTGCAGCTCTTGTCCTCAGTGTCGGTTTTGTACAGTGCCAGACAAGATATCTGGAAGCTTAAACTGCCAATGCCATCATCAAGAGCATAAGCTTTCTCTTGAGCCCTCCTTTTCTCTTCATCCGTCAAGTCCCCATAGAGTAGGCTCAAGTGAGGCATATACGCTGCGAAAAATTTAACATGTTAGAAAATCGTGAATTTTCTTTACGTTCTAACCTTTTTCTCATACAATTCCAAAGCAGAACAAGTGTCGACTACACCTTGTTACATTTATAAAATCACATTCATGCAACAGGTTTGCTTTTAAATCCACATATGAACTTGGCATACGGTCAAAAGCTTTGGCGTAAAAAAAGAGAAAAAAAAATAATCCAAGTCTCGACATTAGCAAGGTTGATGAGCAGCTTACGAGTTGAGTTCTTGTAACCGAGATGACCACAGCAATGAGCACTAGCCTCCACCACCTGTTTTGAAAATTTTAACAATAATAATGTTATGCCAGGAACTGTCTCATCATCCTTAACTTCAATAAACATGTATTAAAACAGTGGAAAAACTTCTCACGTTTTTGAAAAACAGTGGAAAAACTTGCAACACTAGCTAAAAATAAATGGCAGCTTTCTGTTCAATCAGCTAGTTGTCACCAAAAAAAATTTTGAAAAAATAAAATAAAACAAAAATTGACTTTCGATTAGCACGAACAAATTTATCCTCAAATTCCCCTGATCATCCACTTCATTCACAAAATGCCACACCAAATCAACAAGCAGTAAGCTCTAATTTTTTGTCTGCTTTCAAGTGAATAGACGTAATTGAATGAAACAAAGAATAAGACAACAAAATTAGATGCTCAATTTTCAATTTCCACTAAACGCAACACCAGAAAAGAGGGGAAGATGATAAAATTCACAGAATATACCTGAGGCGTCGGATGAAGGAGGAGAAAAACGCACTGGTAAAAGAAGGTGCCGGCGGCGACTTTCTCCACGGTGGCAGCATACGCATTGAGCCCCTCGCACGCCTTGGCGAACCTGTCGCGGGCCTCCTCCTCGGTCAGGCTGACGGCGCCGACGACCGTCACGTGGGGCTCGAACTGGGGCCCGCCGAACTCGGATCTGAGGCCGTCCATCAGTTTCTTCAGCCGCGGCGTCAGCTCCACCGGCGGCAAGGCCCAAACCGAGTAGACATCCCTCTTAGCTTCGCCTGGGGTAGGGTTTGCAGTTTCCATAGAAATTTATCAAGACATTTGGAAGAAATAGGAAATTTTTTATATAAATATGGTGAAATTTGGGGGTCAACAGGTCACGTTCTCGAAATCGGTTCTTTTCTTCTCCTAGACAGAATCTTCTGTTTATTTAAATCTTTATTTTTTGTTCTCTTTTTATTTCCCTAAAGTTTTCCTTTTTTTTATTATTTTTTTTTTCTGCTTTTATAAGTGCTCCATTAACCAAATACCAACTTCAAAATGTGAAGCATGCTAAATATAATAATACACGTGTCATTCAGTCGAAACATTCAAAAAAATAGATTGAAATATGATGAAGAGTCTCATTCCCTAAATTGGAGCTTTGCTTTCAAAATGAAGCATACACAAAATTTGGGTGAACATATTTGATGCCATTCATTCGTGCTTAGTAGAATACAAGTAGATGGTATTTGATGCCATTATTTCGGGCTTAGCATGGTAGAAACGACGGTAGACAATATAAATTTATCAAAAAAAAAAAAATTAAAAAAATCTTCTAAATATACGTTGCTTCATTAAAAAATGGAGGTAGATGGTTGAAAAAATGGGAATAGAAAGGAGTTAATTTCTAAATTAGTATTTCAACTAGCTCAACGAAAAAAAATTTGGATAATTTTAATAATAATAATAATACAATGAGAGAGTAATGAACATTTACGACGTGTATTTTCAGTATCTCAATTTATAAATTATTCGTATACATTATTATTGTATTATAGCATGACTAAAAATAAACACTTCATTGAAATCAAACAACTATCTAGCACGGATCAAAACACGCCATATTGTACCCAAGTCCCATGCATAAGATAAGTATTATAAAACACATACATACATGATATCCATTGAAAATGAATACATACATGAGTTTATTTTTCTCTCTTCCTTATTTTATTACACAAAGTAGGAAATACACATTGGTCCCATCATGGAAAAGGAGCCAAAGATTTCATCTGTGTTTGCTCGACATCAATGGCTAAACCTTTGCCCGTTTTCATCCAATAGTCGGCATAATTAGCCACAACCGAGGCCTCAGGCACTGCAATATCAACCCTCTTTCTCATAAGCTCGTCAGTCGATATTTTGTACTTGTTGTCCCTCTTTGTAATAAGCTCCCGATCAATTGAGCCCATGTTCACTCCTTGTGGTGACACCATTAGTGCAGGTGCACCCAAGGGTAGTCTATCACCTGCATTATTATGTTCACCTCATTCACAAAACTTTCTTCCACACCAATCAAGAAGTTACAACATACACATAAATGTATAATATAAGCTTGTATATAACTTAAATTATAATTATAAGTTTAAAACCTCTATCGACTTGCCAAGTGCACCAAAATTTGCCATATGTCCGGGCCAAGTCATGGAGTTCCGACTTTTGAACCATCTCTGGTATTCGAGGGTGCACCCACAAGCCTGACGTGATCTGTTGTCAATTGTAGCATAATTAATTCAAGATTGGTCATTAGAAAACTCGTTTAAAACCAAATTCAAGCACCTTTTTATAGCTTGATATCTCCAAGTCGATTGCGAATTCATAAATAAATCACGTATTTACTATAGATTTAAGCTCGATCTGCGTGCATTTGATTGATGATCATTTAAGTTTGATCTGCGTGTATTAATCGATTAATGACCATTTAAGCTCTATCCATAATTTGAGCTAACCTCAACCAAAATTTGCTTTGAATTAACCTCAATCGATACTAGCAGACGATGGAGAAGAAAAGATCTCATGTTCCAAAGTTGTATTTCAGTTATGATGTCATAGTCATACATTTGTCATTCACTCAATGAGAATTTAAACATAATTTTGGAACATAAGAGTTCAATCCTCCTCATACAGATTTATAAAATAGTCCAATTGTTCCTCGAATCATTTATACAGTTAAATTTGGTGAAAATAAAAATAAAATTACTGCAAAAAAGATTAACCTCGTAACCGTGAGAGTGCCAAAGCTTCTGTTCCTCGGGCGGAAGGGTATCGAAAATTCGGTCTGAAACAATATACTCCACGCCTACAACAAATTAAAAGCATAAA